GCTCTTGCTCTCCATCTTAGTCCTGCTGATTAGCACACGAGTGTTTTGACTGGGACTATTAACCCTTCCGAGATCTGACCCTAGTTGTGCTCTGGACAAACTACTTGGCTTCAGCCTTACTTTCTATATCAATAAAATGGAAACACCTACCTGGCCCATCTACGGCCACCTTCCTCATAGGATACTGAGGAAAATAATTTTTGAAACCGTGCATTAAATATAAACTATATTAGAATTTACATATTATAAGAAATAACCAACTAGCCTATACCTCCTGGCTCACTGTGGAAAAGCGGCATCGTTACAATGATGCAATAATTACCTACAGATTTAAGCAAATATTGGGATATGACTGTATTAGAAGGCTGTGTGGGAAATGGAAGTGGCCAGAATGGGAACTGTCAGAATGCTAGTGTTAGAACTAACATATAAGGAAAAGGTGATCTAGACATTTGATTAGAAACAGAAAAGGAAATAGCAATAGAATCAGAATAGAAAGAGGTTAATTTAGGGAGAGCCGAGGGAAGGGAAATATGTAGAAAGGAGAAAGATGCTGCAGCTTTTCATCATTTGCTTCTTGATGCTATTCTACTTAAATAATGTAAATACGTTGTTTTTATTAACTGTCAAAGGAAAATTTACAATATAAGATGATATACTTCTAGGCCAGATGGTGGTGGCACACACCTTTAATCCTAGCACTCAGGAGGCAGAGGCAGGCAGATGTCTGGGAGTTAAAGGTCAGCCTGGTCTACAAGAGCTAGTTCCAGTACAGGCTCCAAAGCTACAGAGAAACCCTATCTCAAAAAAAAAAAAAAAAGATGCTATACTACTTATATTTTAAACCTTGATAGAACTAATTATACGCAGTTCTTAAGAGTGTACAATAAACAGTTAACTTTACCCCAGGTACACCATATCCCTAAAAATACATCTGTTGAATTGACTTGAGAGAGTGACAGAAAGTCATATACTTTATAATTTGCCAAACATGTCTATGTACATGATCAGTATGTGATCCTCACACAGCCCTGTGCATTGTACGGGTTAAGTGACTCTCACTCTGCGGATGAGGAATGGGAACTGCAGGGTACATTAGGACTGCATGGAACGTTAGGACTGCAGGGAACATTAGGACTGCATGGAACGTTAGGAATACATGGAACCTTAGGACTGCATGGAACGTTAGGAATACATGGAACGTTAGGACTGCATGGAACGTTAGGACTGCATGGAACGTTAGGACTGCATAGAACGTTAGGACTGCAGGACTGTTGCCCAGAGCCCAAAGCTAGCAAGCTGCAGAGCCAAACTGGAGGGCATGCTTCCTTTAGTTGAGGCTCTTCCCAGCATGCAACCATGTACTTAGTCGCAACAGGGGAGCAAAAATGATTTCCCTGTGTCCCTGGGAGAACAGTCATTAAGTATCTTTGTTCCAGGACTTGCCCCAAACAGAGAAGTAGGCAACAAAGAAGACATACGGGAAATACTGCCCATTCCATTCTCAGGAAACCATAAGAGTGCCAGAGACCCAAACAGTGAAGTTTTCAACCACATTTTACACATCAACAAAAAGGAACAAAAAAAATGGTATTGAAAAGAGAAAATAAAATTTAGAGAAAAGTAAAAAACAAACAACATTGTTTTGTTCCGAGATGATGAGGTAAATTGCAGCCCTTCCCAAGTCTAGGCCACGTCCTTGACATCAAGACCCTGGGCATTAGATGGGTGCCTTTCCCACCTCTCACTGTGTGTGTAAGCATCCTGCATTCTCAGAGAAGCCGTCCAAGCATCTGTATCAAGCACGGGGGTCATGGGGAGGGCACCAAAATCGTATGTTTTGAGATCTGTGTTAGTAGTCTACTGTAAAGCGCTCTGCTCTTACACAGAGTGAAAGAAGGGAATGGATGCTCTCTTCGTGAAATCTCCAAATATAGCCACTTAATCGAAATCTTACTCACTAATGTCCAAGTTACTAGGTAGGGTTCTCAAATTGTTACCAAGATAAACAAACTGGCTAGATTTAGATTACGAAAGGCACCTGGAGGTTAGATAAGGCATGGAAGAGCCAAGACAGACAGGGAGGCTGACTACCGGGAAATGCTATCCGCGGTCTCATGGGTAGGGCCAGGCCAGAATGTCCACCTGGGACAAAGGAGAATGTTTTAGTAAAGATCTGAATCCGAAAAAGCAAGCATGCTCTTCAACGAGCTTGCAGCCGCCCTGCATTCAGGACTGCGAGAGTCCACTGCAGCCTCACCCTAAAGGAAATGAAAGCCCTGAAGAGAAAAAGTACAGAGCGGACGGGAAATGGGGGAGGGTGTTCATCTATACTTACCAAGGCTTCCTTCAAAAATTGCTTAACAAACTACCTAGCAGTGGATCACTAATTCTTAAGAATATAATTTAAGACTACTGTAATTAGTAATTGGCCATGCAGAGCCAAAAGGTCTATCTTCCCGACGCTTGCAAGAATTAACCTGTTTTGTTTTTTTCTTCTGAAGGTTTCCTATATTTCTTTTTTTATTACATTTTACTGATTCTGTGTGTGTGTGTGTGTGTGTGCGTGTGCGCATGCGTGTGCATGTGTGTGTTTGGACATGGCATACAACACAAGTAGAGGCCAGGGGAAAGGAATGGTAGTTAGTCCTGTTGCACTGTGTGAACGTGGTGATCGAATTCCCGTCATTGGGGTTGGCAGCAAGCACCTTTATCTGCTGAGCTGTCTTAACAGACCTATTCCTAATTACCTATTAAAAGTAACATTCTCATTTTGAAAACATCCTAAAAAAATCTTTAAAAAAAATAAAAAAGTAGGCACCAGAGACTTAGCAATGTTCAGTTCAGTGCTTAGCAGTGATTGCTGCTCTTACCGAAGGCCCATTACCCAGGTCAGGCCAGGCAGCCAAAACTTACCTGTAACTCCAGTTTCTGGGGGATCATGTTGTCTTCGACAGGCACCTGTACTCAGGTGCACATACCCACACACGGGCACACACATACATTCATAACTTAAAACAATTAAAAAATTAATCATTAAGACTATAAGAAGAATGGACATGGCTGGAGAGCTGGCTCAAGCCATAAAGAGCACGCTGGACAAGCTGAAGGCCCTGAGCTCGATCCCCAGCATGTACACCAAGAAGGCTGCCATGAGCAATCTGATTGCTGCAGAGGCAGAGACAGGAGGATCCCTGTGACTGGATAGCTAACCAACTTGACTCAATAGGTATACTCCAGACTAAGGGAGAAGGTCTCAAGAAGCAGCCAGAAAGCATGGCGGAATACACCCGATATCACCCTCTGTCCCGCACATATGTACACATATATACACTTATGTGCTATGCACAGGCACACATATACACATATAAACACATGGATAAATAAAAATAATATACTTTCAAAATGATGTGGGAGTGTCATCACAGCAGCTATTGGTTGGAGGGGCGGAAAGACCTCCCGCAACATCAAAATACTTAATAAATGTTTAAGGCTGCTATTGCTCATGACAATGAGGACCAGAAGGAGGAAGTGACAGTAACAACAGTGACAGTAAGCGGCATCTGCTTGTCATGGACGAGTCTATCTTATCATCTCCACTTCACAGACAGGGAGGAAAATGAACACATTGTTCATGGACCAAACCCAGAGTACTAACTCGACAAAGAGTATGAAGACACCCCCTCCTCCAAAGGACCACAAACATCACAGCTACACCACCTAACTGCAAAGTCCTCAAAACAGCCTTATCATCGCTAACTCCAATGCTATCGAGTCCTGTCATGTTCCAGGAAATGGCTCAAGGCTGCAGCGATATGAACGATACAGGAAAATGAGGACCATCCTCATCTTCTGGTATTTTCTTCACTAGGGCCACCACTATATCAAAATCCCAAGGCAGCCAGGCTTCATGCGCCAGAACTGGATCACCCCAAAGCAAATCCTCCAATCAGTTTTTATAGATAATGTTTTAAACATTCCAAAAAGATCTCTCTCCAATTTCTTTGTAAAACTATACTCTCAAAATGAACATTAAAAACTCGTTTGTCATAAAGTTAGAAATAACTTAAAATAGAAAGTAAATCAAAATTGCTTTTCAACTTTAACCAAAGTGGTCACGGTCATAATTACTATAATAAAAATGACAGAAAAAAAAACTAAATTTGTCAAAAACATAATTGATGATGAAAACAATCGTAAAATTATGGCATATTTCACCCTGGCCACCACAGCTTCCTGATGAAAGTGTAGCCCTATAATTCCTCAGAGTGAATTCTCTAAATTAAAATACTTCATGCAGAACAGAAATTAAACAATGAATCAAAGAACACTGCTGTACAGAGGTACGCTTATAAATACACCTGCGAAGGAGAAACAATTACATTTTCCCCTGCAAAAAACAACTCAACTGTAATGTTTCACCGAACTGGTATTTTTGCTATTGCTTTGAAGTTGGAAGTTCACTTCCTGTAACTTACGTAGGACCCCAGTGTGACTGGTGGAAAGGTAATCAGCCCCACCAGACTGGAAGGTTGTCTCCGTGATACAAAACCAGCTCTTTCACTCAACCACTCGACTGCCTTCCGTGATAAATTTCATCCGGCCCAACTGAAATGCCACTCTGCGTTTTATTCTAAATGCTTTCTTTGGCCCGCTGGTTTTATTTAAATATTGACCAGATATTTAAAAGTGCATTCTTCTTCCATCTAGCATTAATCTTGGTAAACCTGGCTCTATTGAAATGTCTTAGGCGCTGAAAAGAAAGCAAAAGTCAGCAAGCACACAATTGCATTTGGCCACCCTCAGCACATCATTCTATTTTCTCCCGCTCTCTGCTAACTATTGCTCAGCACTTTTGCCTGTGAGGGGAGACGAGCAGGTGGTTAAGGAAGTTGTCCTGTCAGCTGGATCTTTAATCCAAGTGTTTAAATCTCCGAATAAAGGGAAAATCAATGTGGTAAAGGCAATGTTTGTCAAGGCCACGTAACAAATACACTTACCTTTACAGACTGTTCTCGGTGGATTTTCCCTTCTTTGCTGAGCTTCAAAGCTACGGAGAGATAAAAATGAAAGACTGAGATGCTTGAGAGCAAAACACCAAATGTTTCTTTTCTGTGTTTCTCAACAGCATTTCCATGGGCTGTGGTCTGTGGTGCTAGCTAAATACGCCATCGATGAAACTCATGCCTCACACCTGCCCAAGAGGCCAACCAGAAACACAGACAGCTACGGTTTTAATGTGTCCCAGTGCTCCATGTGTCAAGATTTAATTTCTATCACTAGGCATGAAGAGAACAAAAACTTAATCTGAATCTGGTTAGAGGAAAGGACATCAAGAGATCAGTAGGCGCGAATAAGGTTACTAGGGTTAAAGGCTTCAGGATTGAATTCTGGATCCTGATGGCTTTTATAAAGAGAAGGAAAGAGACCAGACAGTCACGACAAGGGGCATGTGTGTATATGTCCACATCTGTGTGTGTGTACGTGTGTGTATGTGTGAAAGAGACCAGCCGGGCGGTGGTGGCACACGCCTTTAATCTCAGCACTCAGGAGGCAGAGGCAGGCGGATCTTTGTGAGTTTGAAGCCAGCCTGGTCTACAAGAGCTAGTGCCAGGTCAGGCTCCAAAGCTACAGAGAAACCCTTTCTTGAAAAACCAAAAAATAAAAATAAAAAGAAAAGAAAGAGACCAGACAGTCATGACAACAGGCATGTATGTGTATACATCTGTGTGTGTCTACATGTGTGTGAGGTATGTGTGTATATATGTATGTATGTGTGAAAGAGATCAGACAATCATGACAAGAGACGTGTGTGTGTGTATATGTGTGTGTCCATGTCTGTGTGTGCCTATGTGTATGTGTATATATGTGTGAAAGAGATCAGACAGGCACGACAAGAGACATATGTGTATGTGTGTATGTGTCTACGTGTGTGTGTATGTGTGTACGTGTGTGCATGTGTGAAAAGATCAGTCATGACAAGAGACATGTGTGTACATGCATGTATGTGTATACATGTGTGTATGTGTGAAAAGATCAGACAGTCACAACAAAAGACTCTGTGTGTTTATGTGTGTGTGTGTCTATGTATGTATGTTTATGTGTCCGTCTTACTAAAAAAGTATGATCTGTGCAGACAATGCACACATTGATATATATGGACACACGCACCTATACTCCCTTTCTCTTGGTATGTGATAATCTGCCAGCCTTGGTGTTCTGCCACGAAACACCATGGCTAGATGGAGCCCTTTGCCCTTTCACCTTCAGAACCACGATCCAAATAAACCTCTTAGATTTTTATAATGCCCCTTCTGCTGTGGTGTATCATCAGCAAAAAGGAAACAGGCTGATACGGAAACAAACTGAAAACAGCACACAGTTGGTCAGATCTGCATCATCCAGACTTGGCCACATCTACAGTCCAACCTTGCAGGATGTACGCACCTCATCAGTGAATGGCGCATGAACCGTGGGGTGACAAGATGTATTAAACATCAGGATGGCACGTGCAACCTGACCAAGCACTCACATTCCTTGTCTGGTTTGGACCCATTTCCTACTGTGATTTCCACCTCCCACAGGAATTTTGAGTTCTGGAAGGTTGTTCCATTCCTAGAAGGCACGTGGGCCAGAAGCTCAGCTCAGTGCTGTTGTCCCACGCAAGCACAGTCACCCTCTCTCCAGGAAGAGTGCAGCTTCCTTTTAGGAGAAACTCACAAGAGAGCAGAAGGTATAGCTTTGTATTTCAGATCAAACATCTACTTGCTAACTTCCCCACTTACCCAAATATACTATATGCTTGCCACATCCTAATCAATGAGATCTGTGAAAACACCTGCAAAGTGACAGCTGTTGAAAAATAATGACAACTTATGGTTTGGGTAGGCTGAGTCTATAACGTCCAACATCACTCACATAGTCCATGAAATTATTGTAATTTGCCTCTTCTCATATTTTGGCTAGGTTCTCATTCATCCTAACATTGTAATAGTTGAGAAATACAAAAATTATTTTTTCTCTTCAATATTCTGAGTGATGGCTTTAAGTCTTACAGGACTATTTCCCTCCATGTTCCTTAACGCCACCAAAGAATAGGCTATATTCACAGGCAGTGCTATAAACCTTAGAATACTAATACAGGCCCCTTCATGGAAAAGCATAAAAAAAACTTTCTCAAGCCCCTCCTTGCTCCATGCAACAGCAGGGTTGAAAAAAGCATAAGTTGGTAATGAATAAATGAAATTGTATAACATTTCCTTTGTGAAATGTGAGAAATTTATAGTCTGGACCCCTTTCCATTGAAAATACATAGAAATGCTAAGCAAAATAAAAAATTACAAGTGGCAAGGAGAAAGACCAACATGGAAAAACAATGCATATCAATTTTCTAGAATAAAAGCCATGAGCCCTCGTAAAAAGCACATCGAAATCATATGATAAATACTAGAAAATCCTAACTTAGATACATCCAAATGAAACTACAGAACATCAGAGACAGAATGGCAGCCCTAAATTCAATAAAAAGTACACCTACAAAAAAACAGGTTACCCACCCATAAAATGAAAGCAAGGTAGTGATGGTGTAACATGTTCAAAGTGCTAAGAATGAAAAAGATCAATAAACTACACTCATGCCAACTCTATCATTCAAAAATGGTATAGAAATAAGGACACTATTCAGATTAAAAAAAAGATTGCTATCCATATACAGGAGTTTGCTTTCACTGAAAAAAATCAAGGTAAACCTGAATCCATAGAAATTTGTCTCAGAGGGAAAGGATAATGAGTAAAAAGCAATGGTGACCAGAGAAAGTCCATTGAACTGTTATTATCAATGATGAATATTAATCAAAATCAGATTGTAAAGAAAGTAATAATCATAATTCTGGTTGTATAGAAAAGGGAAATTGATGTGGGATTGACCTCTATATGCTGTGAATACCACTGGTTAATAAAGAAACTGGATTGTCCTGATAGGGTAGATAAGTGGGGAAAACTAAACTGAATGCTGGGAGAAAAGGAGGCAAAGTTAGGGAGAAGCCATGGAGCTGCCGCCAGAGACAGACACACTGAAATTTTGCTGGTAGGCCACGACCTCGTGGTGATGTACAGATTAATGGAAATGGGTTAAAATAAGGTGTTAGAGTTAGCATATAAGAAGCTAGAGCTAATGGGCTAAGCAGTGTTTTAAATAATACAGTTTCTGTGTGATTAATTTGGGTCTGAGCTACCAAGCAACCAGAATGATCAAGGGGCCTCCTTACAACAGGAAATACCAGTAATAATGTCTTAGTCAGAGTCACTGTTGCTGAGATGAAAGACTGTGACCAAAAAAGCATACACTTCCACACCAGTGTTCATCATCAAAGGAAGTCAGGACAGGAACTCAGGCCAAGCACGAACCTGAAGACAGGAGCTGATGCAGAGGCCGCGGAGGGTGCTGCTTACCAGCTTGCTCCCCGTGTCTTGCTTCCTATGGCTTGCTCAGCCTGCTCTCTCACAGAACCCAGGACCACTTTCTTACAGCCAGCCCAGGGACAACACCACCCACAGTGGGCTAGGCCCTCTCCATCACTATTTAGGAAAATGGCCTACAGCAAAATCCTATGAGGCATTTTCTCAATTAAGGTTCTCTCCTTTCAGATGATGCAAGCCTGTGTCAAGTGTGTGGCCAGCGCAGAGGATAACAACTGCTGCTTAGTGTTTGGATAAATGCAGCTGAGAAGTTTACCCCAAGCACATGGAATGTGGTAAGAGAGAGAAGGGTTAGAGGAAGTCAGAGTGTTCACGTTACATGTCAACATGTGTGAGTCCTCTGAAGTTAGCTAGCCGTTCCTTAGCCACATAAACCACAGACTTGTGCACTCACACTCACATGCATACAGAAACTGTCCAAGAACACCATGGATAAAAACAGCATGGCAAAACACGGGAAGCAACCCGAATATCATAGCAGTACAATAAAATGTTCACAGATTCTTCACATCAAATAACATACGAATCGGAAGAGCTGATGGCTCCGTCATCATCATTAACAAGCATTAGCAAGGTATAGACTGTCTTCCATAATATCATTCTCTCATACATCCCAAAAGGGCAAAATAAATACCAAGTTGTTTGGGAATATAACATAAGTAAAGAAAAGCAAAAAAATGAAAGCAAAGAAATGTCTTACACAGAAGTTAGGGTCCCTGTCTTGGAGTATTGGTAGGTATATGAGGAAGAACATGGGGGTTCCGAGTATGGGATACTTCTGGTGTGAGGGAAGGTAATTAGATGGTCGTTTTCCCATATTCCATTTTCTTTCATATATTTAAACATTTTCATAAAAATCTACATGTCAAAAACCATCTGTGTATATATATATATATCACCTGTTCTCCTTTGTCCTTTTGTTGTTTTCCTGAGAAGGGGGCCTCACTATACGCCCCAGAACTGGCCCCTGACTCCCAGTACTTCCTTCTCAGTCTCCTGAGTACAAAGACTAAAGCTTGCCATATGTGCAGGCAAGATTCCAAAGGCGTGTGTCCCAAGACAGAGCCAGGCAGAAGTTACCATTTTTAGGACAGAGGATCAAAAGTCACACAGTATTATTAGCAATGTCACAAACATCACCTGACAAAGACATGCACCTCCAGAAGGTGTCACACTGTAAGATCATGTGGGCTGTGTATCTGTGCAGGGGCAAACATGCTTGGGGAACACACTGGTCCTCAACATTCAGTAGCAAACCAGTGAAGGCTCCCTTTTCAGCAGGCGAAGGCACCACAACCTGAAGTGACCCTTGAACCTCCACAAAGGAAGGAGAAAACCAACCAATGCCTACAGGTCAGCCTCTGACCTCCACATGCACGTTGGGATGCACGTGAACCTACAGACAAAGCCACACATTATACATAAGCACATAAATAAGCAAAAGCTTTCTCAAGAAATAAGTTTTAAACTCAGTCTTCATGGCATCTTCCCTTCAGAGACTAGTGGTGGGAGACTGTCTTAAACAGCTTTGGTGTCCCATGTAACGTTCTGGGATGGATATGCAAGCTATTA